CGCACTGGCAGCGCACGGGTCACCCCGAACCCGGAGCCCGCGGGACAGAGAGCCGCCCTGCGCCTCGGCTGCGCTCTACACGGACGGTCCGCCCGGGAAAACGCCACTTAAGAGGAGTCGAGGAATGAGAAGAGGACAGATAAACCATAAACGGAGTTCTGCTTTCTTTTAAAGCCCGTTTCCCAAAAGATAGCGTGTTCTAGCCGAAGAAATAACTTCCACTTCAGTCAAGTGCGTGCCTAACTTTTAATATGCATCCCCTGCTTTTCTCCGAATGTGTATTTTTTTTGCATCTCACTTTTCGTTCGCCAAACTGCATCCTAGAAGTTTCGTTTCTGTGTGTGTTCTTGCCACTTAAACTGATAGGTTTTTTTGTTCGAAATGTTTTCTGCATTTGTGAACCTAAAAAATCCAGTTAAATTTGCAGACTAATTTCCTTCTTTTCTCATACAAACTTTCCATAGAGGAATTTTCCTTACTCATTAGAAAAGTAACTAAAGTCAAACTGAGAAGCAGAACTAGTAAAACAATATAACAACCAAATATCAAAAATAAACATGCTGTGAAATGGAAGATTTCCTACATTATAAGAATTGTAGCTTATAAACTAACGGCAGATACAGTCTGAGCGGTGTAGAATGTAGATTTCCTTTATGGCCCAAATACTCAAAAATCAAAAAGGAATTCTTTTTTGTGAGTTCATACAAATCAATTCTCAGAATTGGAAAGCTTTTCTGTTTTTCTCTTGGGCTAAATGTCTCTTCCTGCTGCAGTTTAGAGAAATTTAGTTCTTGACAGCTGGAACTAAATAACCTTGCCAGCAAATTATATCCTTTGCTTTTTACCCATGTTACGGGTTTTATTAGCAGCTTTGTACTAACTCATTCATGTAATTTATCCCCCACACCTTCTCCTCGGCTGTCTGGTTCGTGGAATGCCTTTAAACAGATACTTATTCTGTAATTCCATAAGAATCTGGAATAGTTCCAGAAAGATGTAAAGGAAAATAACCCACTGGCAAGTTCGTTTTCAGAAATAAAACATGAAGTGATGACAGAAAGGAGATGAGCTCTGGTTTATGAGAGCAAAAATATAATGCCAAATGCCTGCTCAAATACGAGATATATGTATGTATATATATATAAAACACCTCTCATCCTTCTTTCATATTGGGGATTAAAACCAGGGTCTTCACACTTAGGTACAGCCCCAAACGTAGTTAGTTAGTTAGTTAGTTAGTTAGTTAGTTAGTTAGTTAGAAATAGGCTGCCTCTAAGTCACTGAGTTGCCCAGGCTGGGTTTGAATTTGCAACCCTGCTGCCTCAGCCTCCCAGAATGCTAGGATTCCAGGCATGCACCATTTCACCTGGCTGCCTGTTTTAAAAAAATATTTAAACAAAACACAGATTTTTTAAAAATCAAAAACAAAACCTTTGGAGTCTGTGCTCAGGAGTTCGGGATGTTGAAATTAGACAGGACTTAGGTTCAGTTCCGACTCTGTGATCTCCGGTACCTGGTCTCAGCGTCCATTTCTCAAACATTGACCCCCCCCCAATCAGATTGCCATGAGATGCCGTGCAAACAGTGCCGGGTGTAAATTAGGCACAAACGGCTGCTGACTAGGCGTGTCCTAGTGTCCACCCCACTCACTTCACAATTTAAGTCTAACAGCAAGTAAAAAACAAAGACAGTTTCACTAGTGTGCAATGTAGGGGGAAGCACAAAATTTAAAAGAGGAAGAAAACTACAAATAAGTGATTATTCCCTTAAAGCAAACATAGAAAGGAGCTTGTCTCTGGTAAGTAACACTCGAAGAAACTCAGTCTCAAGTTCAAGCTTGCGCCGTCCTGAGAACATCAAGATAAGCCCCTCAGCAGGCCCTGGCAAAAGCACAGTTCCTGCAGGACGGGGCAAAGTCGGGGGCGCTGACTCTGAAAGCCACGGCGTTCACCTCACTGGAAACTGGATGCAGGAAGGGGAACAACGGGCCGCTTTGTTTCCCACACTGTGTAGATGTTTGGAGAGCAGAAATCATCCCAGCCATCTTGTGAGTGAATATAGGAAGTAACCAAAGGCACCTTAAAAGACGTCCTTTCTTCTGAAGTATTGTCTTTGGAAGCTGGCCAGGACCGGCAAAACTGTGGAGGGAATCACGGATCTACCTGTTCATCAGAGTCCAGAATACAGCGAGCTTAAGAGACCTCTCCCCTCGGTCTCCTTGCATCCTGCATAACTGTGAGGAAAACATTAGCACCCCCGCTTCGGAGATGACAGACAGATCAAACGGGCAGCTAATCAGTGATGGAATGGATCTAGAACTGAAACTATTCTTTCCAAAACACTGCAAGATTCTTCCCATAACTCAGAGCTCGCGGGAGTGGGTAGTGCAGGCGGAGGACAATGCCAAGCAAAGACAATAAAAGTAAGTGCTATACTAAGTAGCGCACGGTAACCAGTGTATGTGGCGGTCAAAACACAAGTCATCTCCAGAAGAGTTTATCCAAACCTTTTAATTCAAATACTATAAGTGCAAGTTTACGTTTGTATCATGTGAGATGGGAGGAAGGCAGCGAAGGGACCCAGAGTGCTAGGGAGGCTGTAGGAGAATCTCTTGAGGTGGACGAATGGAGCACTTCATACAGTTTGGGGCACTTGGCAGAGGCAGAATATCGGAATGTTTGTTGACTATCAGACACTTTCGATTAAAAGATATGTCACTATTTCATGTCCTACGAGGACAGAAGAAACCCACTGCGAATTAAATTACACACAGATTTTAGTATGGACTCCAGTCTCAGAGCTGGGCATCTCGGAAGTAACAAATATGGGAACAGTATTTTCATCCTTTTGCATCCACAACGCGCCTTTTGGGTAATCCCAGGAGGCTGCTGTTGTTACTGTGCCCCGTTAGCTGAAGCGGGGAATGACAGGAAGCAAAGGACCAGCCCAGCGTCCCTGGGGCTCCAGGGCAGCCCTCCTGCCAGAGCTGGCACTGGTCCACTGGGGGCAGGCGCTTACTGGGAGCGCGCTGCCTCTCCAGGCTGAGGGTCGAAGCTGGGTAAAAATGGTCCTTCCCTCAAAAGGACGTAGTGGAGGAGCTGCACACGCGGCACATGGTGAGGATGCTAGTCAAGGGAACCGGAAGATGTCCACAAGGCAGATTTCGAATCTGGGTTATAATGGTGAGGACCGGGTTACTATTAGCGGCTTCACTTTGTCCCCAGAGAGTATAGAGCCAGTAATTCCGGGAAGGCCCTGCCTGGACAGGGTAGTATCTCTTCACTGAATAATGCCCGAATGTGCAGAGCAGTATCTAGAGATGCTTGGTTAAGGCTGACAAGCAGCATGTGTCTTGACTCGTTCTTCCCGTACAACCTTATAGCAAGCAGTTGAGAGCACAGCTACCCAGGTCTGTGCCGCCACTTCTGTATCTTTGAATATATCGGTTAAATAGATGGGAATGGATGTGGAGGTGGTAGATTTATTGGTTGCCTCTAAGAGATCCATTCTTTCCTTCTTTCTCTAGCAGTCGTCAGTTTTTCCTTCCACAAGAAATACCCCTTTCCCTCCCTTATTACACAGCACGGAGCTCTAGGAATAGTCTTTGAGGGTCAGATTCATACTCTGTAGATGGACTGCCCAGGGGTTTGTCCACTTAGAGTCCCAGGGATTAGGAGGTGTGCTGCATAGATGATTTGGTTTCACCTTTTCCCTTTCTGTGGGTGAACGAAGACAAGGTCCATACGAGGCCGACCTGAGATCTTAGCACCAACCCAGGGAAGACGGAGCCAGGGAATCGCAGGGCTTTGCTGAACGACGGTTGCAGTCACACTTCCCTCTTCGCACTTCCTTCCCCAGTAAACCCTCCTTATAATTTGTGCTAGTTTCATCTGCACTCTCTGCGGCTTAAGCAAAAGCACTCATTAGAGGAGATAAGGGAAGTGAAAAGAGCTCAGGTTTTAAAGAAAAAAGGGTTGAACTATGGCTCTGTCACTTACCAGCCAGCTCTGTAACTGGAAATTAATTAATGTAAACTCTTCAGGCCTCGACTTCCTGATCTACAAAATGAGATAAGGAAAGGATTAAGTGATAGAATGTATACATGTCTAGTATAGTTCCTGCTATATAAGAATTAGCTAGTAATTAATGTAATTATTGTATTTGTGTCCTAGACCTCAACACAAAAGGCATGCTTTAATTATGGCTAATAATTTCTTTCATAAACTACTGTGTCAGAGTATATGGTACAACTGAAAGACTTGGCTTCCTTTCTGCCAGTGGGGGATCTTGAGCAGTTCCTTTAGGCCTGGGTTTCCTCCATATAATTTGATGATGTGTACCAAGAAAATCTCCAAGAATCCTTGAAGCTCAAAATAATAATATATAATTCAAAATGACTGTACTTAAGTAGCAAT